AAATTAAATTTGAGAAAAAGCAAATACCATAATTTGAGTCAGGAATTTTGTTACTAGTTATCGGCTGTGATAAAGCCGACCATATTTTCCAATTAGTTTTCCAATTACATGTACCGATATCATTGTAATCAAGGATGTATATGAATTGTACTATAAATTGGCGAAACAATAAACTTACCCTACAAAGTCCCTCTGTGTTCCTTCAGTCACTGTAAAATGTTGATAATTACTAAGAATTAGCAAAACAACCTCCGAGTCTATGAAAATATGATCAGTTCATGTACATCAACAACAGCTCAAGACCATTGTGTTAGGCATTCTGAGTTATTTGTTCTGATAAGGATATTCAACTATGAATTATTAATATAAGAATCTCGATCAGAATTATATTTGGTAGGAAGTGTCTTGGGATAGTAGTCTGAGAATCTCATAGCGTGCATACATCGCCAAATGGAATTCCTGCAGCCAGTGGAAGGAAGCAGGGTCCTCTCTGGTTTTACTTTGCGGGGATCCCCAAAGATGCAAGGCCTGATGCATGAAAAAATATTTTGAAATCTTAAAACTCATAATGAATAGACCTATATGACATTTCAATTTTACAGATTTATTACTATCATTATCATTATCATCATCATCATCATCATTATCATTATCCCCATTTTTTTTGTTGACGTTATTTTGTTACTGGTCTTACTGTTATTACTTTTATCTTTATTATTATTAAAATTGTCGTCTTTATTGTTGTTATTATTATTATTTCTATAATTATTATCATTATTATTTCTATAATTATTATCATTATTATGTCTATAATTATTATCATTATTATTTCTATAATTATTATCATTATTATGTCTATAATTACTATCATTATTATTTCTATAATAAATATTATTATTTCTATAATTATTATCATTACTATAGGCATTATAATTACTGTTATTATTGTTGATTCAGTTTTACGCCACAAACTTTTTTTTTTTTATTCTTGTTATTATTCTCGATATTAACACTTCTATCATCACGATTATCTTTATTATTATTATTATCATTACTATCAGAACTAACATCATCACTACAGTCATTATTATGTTATTACTGGTGGTGGTGGTTGTGGTTTTATCGTTTTGCTTTAAGGAACATCATTATCATATTCGTTAATATGATAATCATTATTATTATTATCGTTTTCATCATCAGTATTACTATTGTTGATAATTCTATTATCATTATCATCGATGTAAAATTGAATAATAATAATTATTATTATTATAATTATCATTATTATCATTGTGATTATTATTACCGTTATTATTATTATATAATTGTTACTATTATCATTTATCATTACACCCCAAGGTTGAATGATAATGTTTGCCTCTCTCACCGACATAATACCTGTGTTTCGGCCTTACAAGGTTTCTGTCCTCACCACAACCTAACGGAAAATTAACTTCGTTTCCTCGGAGCAGCAGGTACGCATTTCCTTTCTAATCTGCTAAATACTCCGAAGGGCTTTCTTTTCCGGCCTATGCACGTTCTCTCATTCTGTCGTTCACGATTACGTTCGGACTTCTTGAAGGAAAGGTTCCCCAGACAGGTCTGCCTGCTCATAGCCGACGTTGCCTATGGTTCTGCCCGGTCCCTCTCCACCACCCAATGGCCGCTCTCTTCACTGCCCAATGGCCGCTCTCTTCACTGCCCAATGGCCGCTCTCTTCACTGCCCAATGGCCGCTCTCTTCACTGCCCAATGGCCGCTCTCTTCACTGCCCAATGGCCGCTCTCTCCAACAGAAACTCTCCAGCCTCACCACCCGCAGTCTTTGGTCGGGCTTCTCCCTCAACCTATCTTCCTTGATCTTGACCCCTCACCAGTAACAACTAAACTTCGATCTTTCCTTCGTTCTATGTCTTCCCACTTACCTCCATCGAGATAATTTCTTCCTTCGACCGGTTCATCCCTACCCATAGGAACTCTGCATACTTCCTCGATTGGGCCACGCTAGATCCTATAGCCTTATCCTCGCTCCCTTACCAGCTGGCGTTTTCGCGACTGACTGCCGAGACTTGACCGGTTGTCACGGACACCTCGTGATCCTCTGATTGAACTGCAGGCTCTTCTCGTTCCCGATTCGCTGATACAGCTCCCGAATACTTAAACTTCGAGATCCGGAACAGAGATCAAGGCTGTTCCACAAAGGTAAAGGCCCAGGCGAAGATAGACTTCGCAAATCTCACTGAACCGAGATCAAGTGATCATCCTCCAGAGTACCTCAGCCAAGCGGCAGCAACACTAGGGCAACCATACCCTTTGCCGACTCGGGAGCCTCAGTGGCTCTCTAAAACAGTGGGCATTTACACCCACTCAGTCACTCCCCAAAGAATTAAACTTCTAGCCATATAGTAAATACATGTAGTAAATACAACCGCAATGCCCTTCAAAACATGCTCAGAGAGGATGTCACCTTTTTCCTCTTTGACAACCGTCCTCACTAACTGCAGAAGGCCCTGCCTATTGGGTGATGCCTCCACCTATATCATCCCTGATCAGGGACCTTCCACTGTCACCTGAAGAGGTTATCCTGTTTTCCAGAGGCGAATCCCTATCCTCATTTCTGTGATTTACTCAAAACTTATAAGCCAGGCATGCCACTGTAACCCTCTTAGGCACATCACTCACACCCTTTCTTGGTACCCTCTCTTCTGCTCACCTCCCGTGTCGATGGTGTCTCGTCGGGGAAAATGGTGAACTTGGATGACGTCCTCGCTTTCGCTCAGAGGAAATTCTTCCCGAGGATCTTCGTCACTCACTGCTCACCGACATCTTCCTCAAGTTGATTTGTCTGTGTGGAGTCCATTTCCTTTTCCTTTGAGGGTCGCTTCTACTCCCCGACGTTCGGTGTTCTCACTCTCCAGTCCCAGAAATCCTGTTCAAGGAGCACTTTAAGTATGAGCCTTTTCCTTATATCTCCCTCCTACGATTAGGCTGTGGTGTCTCGACGACGTCTTTGCTCTCTGGCCTGAAGGCCCTGCTGTTCTCGGATTATTCCCTCCATCCATTTCAAGGCAGAAGAGTCTGACAATAAGCTCCCTTTCTTGCACACCTCATCACAATCATAATCATGGCCATCATCGTCTTCATCTTTATCCTCCTCCTCCTTTCTTAGTATATTGCCTGATCCAGCTTCTCTACGCGTGGGCTTCCGTGTAATTATTCTGTTTCTTGGCAAGCTCCCCTTTGAGCCGGAGGCACACGTGGACATCATCTGGCACTTCCGGTTAATGATTTGTGACATCACTTTGAACTGTTCTGTACTAAAAATCAGTCCCTCTGAGACCTGTTATTTTATTCTATTTGGTACATGTCTCCATTATACAGTTTCATTGCGAGAAGCTAAAAAACCCGTCTATGTACAATCCGTTTAATATTAATTAACTAGGTGATATTTTGATTTAGTTCCACGGTATGAGATTTAACCAATGAATGTGTAAAGTAAAAGATGAGGTAGTAAAGAGATCATTAATCTTTCTTCATAATCTATTCGCCTTATCGACGGTGCTGGAACATATAACTGTCGCATACAATAAAATTTATTCAGAAGCCTGTGTGTGTGTGAGGGGGGGGGGGGGTTGCGCGTGCCTGTGTGTGTATGTGCGCACGCGCTTTAATATTTACATTTTCATACAACTTACCAGGCTTTTATTGATAACATGCTTGACTTGTGCTGTGTTTGTTCTTAGGGAAAGAGATGAAAAAAATATTCGTTTTGTTATCAATATGGTTTTCATTTTTGTAAGTAATGACTATCATTATCATTATCATCATTATTAGCATCATTATTTTTGTTGTTAATGTTATTGTTTCATAATCATCATCATTATTATTATATTTTTTATTATTATACTATAATGATAATAGTAATAATAAGTGTAATTACTACCATTAATATCATCATCATTGTCATTATTATTTGTATCATTATTGTTATTATCATTTTCATTATCATTATTATCGTTATTATAATTATGATAATTATTTCTATTACTAGTGCTACTAACACTACTGATTGTTATTGTTGTTTTTATCATTATTTACATCTTCATCATTACTATTATTATCATTATCAATATTTAATTCATTGAATATTACCATCATCATTACTATCAATATTGCCATTATATTATCATTATTATTATTACTATTAATATTATTAGTGTTTTATTGTTCCTATCGGTATTTTCATCTAGCATTATTAACATAATCATTATATTATTACTTTTATGTTTTGTTATTATTATAACTTTTCTTATCATCATTATTATTATTGATACTGTTATTATTTTTATGATTAATATTATTATTATTATTATTGTTATTATCATTATTATTGTTATTATTATCATTATTATTATTATTGATATTGTTATCATTATTATTATTATTACTATTATTATTGATGTTATTATTATTATTCTCATTGATATTGTTATTATTATTATTGTTATCATTGATATTGTTATCATTATTATCATTATTATCATCATTATTCTTATTGATATTATTATTGATATTGTTATTGTTATTATTATCCTTATTATCATTCTTATTATTATCATCATTAGTATTATCATTACTATTATTGTTATTATCATTATTATTATTATTATTATTATTATTATCATTATTATCATTATCATCGTTGTTATTACTGTCATTAGTATTATGACTGGGATTATCATCATTATTGTTAGGACAATTATCATTATTGATAATTACGATATCGTTATCATTGATTTTATCATTACTAATATTATTATTATAATACTCGTTTTTTCAGTCTAATATGCAGTTTCATTTTCCGACAGATGATGTATGCAAACCTACGCATGCTGTGCCGTGTCTTCTGAAAGATAAAAAATACAAATATAATTTAGAAGCACCGACAAACCATAGACGTAAAAAAAAAAAGCCTTCGAGTTCAAGTTCCTCAACAACCAAAATGGGTTGTGGACTCAGCTCAGAGGCCGCCGCAGCCCTACCAGTGCCAGTCAGTATCTTTCAAGACAACCAGTGCCATTGTAATAGCATAAATAACACAGTGACTATAGATATATCTAAGAGTATAGTCTACATCCATGCTTATGAATCCTTATGTCATCGTGGTTTTCTTTACTTTATCCTTCAGTCCAGTCCTGACGAAGCCCTTGAGCTAGCCATGAAGCACGGGGACATACAGGCGCTGGAAAAGGCTCTCGAAACCCATGCGAATGTAAACAAGAGAGTCAAAGACGAGCACGGTACTGAGTGTACCATTCTGCACATGGCTGCTCGAGTTGGCAACGGAGAGGCAATAAAGATGATCCTCAAGGTAAGGTTAAGCTCAAATTAGGTCACTCAAGAAGAATTGGCCATTTTTACTTTAAATTGTACGCTTAATGTTTACGGTTTTTATGCCCTTATGAAAGAATTTACCTCATAATTGGAGCAAAGTTAGTTATATTAACGTCACATTTAACTAGCAAACGGAAAATCAATGTATATCCACGCATATTTTTTGCATATAAAAAGCAATGACAAAATATAATAAAATTTGAAGATGCTTCATCGATCAACTTCTTTAGCTACACATGCAATGATACGGGGAAGATACATAAGCGTAAACTACTTTCCATCTGTTGTATATCAAACTTAAATCTCAGATTGATTTTTAATATAGATAAAAAAATAAAATAAAATAAATAAATGAAAATTAGACTACTTGTAATGCAATGCACACGGAAAAGTACATATTTGGACATTGCCATTTGTGTACTTATTGGTATAGTTCCTTGTCGTTTTGTTTTTTTTTTCTACAAAAAAACGAGTTTCTCCAGTATTAACTAAATAATGTAAACAGTCTGACATTGCTGAAATGGTGACGTCACCCTTCCAGCGAAGCTGACTGAAGTACAGGTGACGATCCGACGATTCATAAGTTATCCAAGTAATGTTGATAACAACGAGTCGCATTTTGTGCGCACGTCCAAGGCCTTGCAGTCTTCAGTCACAGTGACCACGTCAGAAGTGATCGTTCGTATTTCCTTTATCTGTCTCAGTCACGTAATCACTATGATTTATCGATCACGTTATCAACCCATTTCTTCCGTATTTGATTTATCTGCAGCCTTTGTCGTCATTATCATGATTCGCTGAACCGACGACAATTGCGTCAGTCACGTCAACTACGCCCTGATCGATCGTTCGCATCAATCGCAGAAGTTGGACTGGGGCGTCATTTGTTTCACCTCTGGCAAAGTGGCCTTGGGCTCAGTAATGCTGAAACAGACTCGAATTAGAATGAAATATCCTTACATCGAGGCTGTATGGTGTATATATATGAATACAGCACACACCCCGAGGAGTTCCTTCCATCCTCCCCCTTTAGTTCATTCTACGGCCTACCCCCTCCGCCCATACCTAGTATTTGACAGAAGACACGTAGTTACCCAAAACCATGACCGCAAGTTCTTTATGATCCGTAGCGGTCAATGGATCGATAAATCAGTTGGCACGAGACGGTGGGTCTTGTCGTGGGTTGCCATTATCATTATTTCTTCCTTTGTTTTCTGTTACCCACGAAAGTCTCGCTCTCGTGCTGAGACTGAAACGTGACCATGGCTTAGGTTTAAAAGAACCCAGGCGCAAATGTGAGAAGTAGAAGAAGAGGGACACGTTGGTGCACTCATTCCGTAATCAATAAAGTCCTCACATACAAGTCACCGACGGTTCATGCGAATTTTTTGGTCAGATTTTGACACAGTATAGTTGCTAGAATGTGTAACAAAGGTCACTCCTTTTATTTGAATTCGAGCCTATTTTTCAAAAGGCCCTTGAGTTTGTCCCTTCAACACGTTCCGCATTCCATGAATTCCGGAATGACGAGTCATTTCTTGGAATTCTTAGACTTAGTGAGAATGGCATTCAGGGGAAGGCCTTCCCGCGCCACGAATGGTTTGGCTAAATTAAAAATGATTTACAGCACGCTAATCAAAATTGGCGTGTCTACAGGCTGGGGCTGATATCCGCGCTGTAGACAGTAATGGACAGACAGCGCTGCACTGGGCCGCTCTGCATGATAAACCCGACGCTGTTGTTGAGTTAGTGCAGGTAAGTGTTTCCTTTGTTTTATTCTCATAAGTAATGCCCATGTCTGTGAGCCTCTTTCATGCAAAGTGCGCATTGTCTTCTACGCTGCTTCCTTGTTCCTTCGCAGCTTTTTACGGAATATAATTTTTAAATTTGTAGAGAACCTCAATATTCAGAGAGGGGAAAGTGGCTTTGTATGATGCACTATCGATCTGAACACTTCTAGCTCCTTGCGCTCTCCCCTGCGGCTCAGGAAAAAGTGAATTTCCCTTTCTGTTCTTCGAATGTACGCACAACCAGAGCTGTGTTCTGTTGTGTTGAACCATAAAGAAAAGGGTCAGTGACACGGAATATTAGCGACGGTGTATCATTCACTCGCTGGCATGACGAATTTCATTAAAAACAACGACATGGTAACCTTCGTTCACCAACACACCTGCCGTGACCACGGCTGTGTGTACTTTTATTCATACTGAAGTTGTGACATGTGCCTATCTTTTCCTTCTTTTTTGTTAATTAGTTGGTCAAAATGTGCGTTGATTTATAGCTTAATTTCAGGATGGTTAAAATAAAAGTTTTTTTTATGTCTGTGTGTGTGTGAATAATACCCAGAGCCTTCGTAAACATATAATGGGGCCTAATATGGACCATCCCACCTGACACTTAATTCCTGTATTCCAAATTTTCAGAATTAAAACTAACATAGTCATAGTTTTTTTACAGACTGGTGCACTGACCCTTGCTATAGATCAATAATCCTGTTGCCCTTTCCTATTCCCGCTGTTTTTCGTTCTCTCTTCCCCTTATGTTTTAAGCCGATCCTTCATTACACCCTTCTTACACTAGACAAATTACCCCCTCACTGCATTAGTAATGTGACTCATTCCACCTCAGGTGGGGAACATTTTTTTTTCCAGAAGCAGTTACTCACAAACGGGTACCAGTTACGTGTCCATCGAATTATAAAGAGGGATCGTCAATTGATAAAGCAGATTACCACTTCAGTGTTTGCAGCTCTTTAATTTTTCATAGTCGCGCAATTGTAGTAAAAAAAATCCTCTTTGTTCACAAAAATTATGATATGAATTTATTTGTTAGACCAAGAATGTTAAGCCTTAATTTTTAGAAAAATAGGGTATATCGGATTTCACTCATGGATCGAGAATTTGGTGCAAATTTTATACTAGCATAGAATAAAATGAAACAAACATCTGACGTCGTATTTCATGGTATTACACAATAGGCAGATAAATAAGGTAACGTTGATATCTAAAGATAGTTGGATATCTGCTACATATTGGGTATTTCTTTTATATGTGAAGAGAGAAAGGTTTTCAAATAAATAAGAGTCCGCCAAAAGAAGGCACCACCTCCGTCCTTGCAAGGGCAATAGTGACGAATGTTCTATCTATCTATATATAAATTTATATGTATGCATATATATACATATATGTGTGTGTGTGTGTGTGTGTGTGTGTGTGTGTGTGTGTGTGTGTGTGTGTGTGTGTGTGTGTGTGTGTGTGTGTGTGTGTGTATATACATCTATATCTATATCTATACATATACATATATATATATATATAAATATATATATATATATGTATGCATATATATACATATATATATATATGTGTGTGTGTGTGTGTGTGTGTGTGTGTGTGTGTGTATGTGTGCAAGAGAAAGAGAGTGTGTGCATGTGCGTGTGTGTGTATGTATATATATGTGTATGTGTGTGTAGAGAAAAATATATATATATATGTATACGTATAGAAATATATACATATGTATACGTATATATACATATGTATACGTATATATACATATGTATACGTATATATACATATGTATATATACATATTTATGTGTATATATACATATATATACATACATACATATATATATATATACACATATATATGTATAAATATATATTTATACATACTCAGAACGAAGAAGTAGACTAACGCAACCGTAAATAATTTCCAGTTTATTAAGACGTGTTTAGATCAATCATTTCTCAATTTTCAATGCTATAATAATGAGCCAAACCAAAAAGGCATACAAACATAGAAAGAAATTGACTCTTGAATAAAACGAATATATGTACAAATATATGTATATATATATATATATATATATATATATATATATATATATATATATATATATATACATATATATACATATTATTACACACACACACACACACACACACACACAACAAACACACACAACACACAACACACACACACACACACACACACCACACACACACACACACACACACACACACACACACACACACACACACACACACACACGCACACACACACACATATACATATACAAATGTGTATATATATACTTATATATACATAGATATGTGTATATATATGTATATATATTCATATTTATATATGTATATGTATATTGATATACAAATAAATATATGTATATATATAAATAAATATGTGTATATATATAAATATTATGTATGTATATGTCTTCTCTCTCTCTCTCTCTCTCTCTCTCTCTCTCTCTCTCTCTCTCTCTCTCTCTCTCTATATATATATATATATATATATATATATATATATATATATATATATAACTTCGGTTAGGGAGGGTGAATCCTCACTGATGGGTGGGTCCGGCAGCGGAATCTCGACTTTACCCGCATCCAAGTTGACTGTTGGTGGATCAACCTTCTAGAACTGCTCAAAATACTCAGCCCAACGCTCCAGCACCCCAACAGGATCTGAGACGATCTTGCTACCGAGTGAGCGGACTGCAGTCACCTGTGAAGAGGGTTTAGACTTTTTCAGGGCTTGGTAGGCAGGACGAAGGTAATTTTCTAAGAACTGGCTTCTGACTACCAACGAGTGGTAATGAGCATGTGGTTGATCTGCTTGGCTGCATTACCTGTATCGCTGTACCACGTCCAAGGAAGAGGATTAGAGCACTGGTACCAAGAGCCAGAAATCCTCAATTTCTGGGACCTTGCAAAGTCCCGGTAAAGGAGGCTTTTCTCACTGCTGGCAGCAGCTCCTGAACCATTCAGGCCAACAGACATCTCATAGGCAGCTTGATCGAAGCCAGAGAGTGCATGGAAGTCACCCAAAACAATAAGAATAACTCAAGGAAACTGTCTGACACAGAAGCAAGTTTAGCATAAAACATTTCTTTCACGTTGAGTTTACAAACATTGGTAGGAGCGTACACAGCAATAATAGACATGAAGCCAAATACAATCTTCAGTCTTAATACCATTATAAGTTCATTGATTGGAGTAACCTCTGCCATCGAGGGCTGAAGTCTGCTGCCATTTCCTGAAGATGGTGGCCATCACTATGGCCTGACCAGTAATAGGTGTGGCCACCTACACTGATCGTGCCGCTGCCAGGTCTTCTCACTTCCGAAAAATCAGCCACTTCCACTCTCAGCCACCCCAGTTCCCTCGAAAGTTGAGGCACCTGATCATCCTGTCACAAAGATCGGACGCCTCAAGCCTCATCCTGAGGTTAAGCATTGGGTAGTCACTCCAAGTGGGCATCATCTCTGCCACCCCCACCACCCCATAGAGAGAGGGGTGGCTAGCCGAAGGACCTGTTGGATCCTATGGGCTTTGCTCCACAAGCCTCATGCCAGGTTGGCAGCCACCAGGACACAGATGGAATGGGTAAACTCAGCTCCTACTCGGAATCCCAGTAGTCAACAACCCAGGGGATACCACAGTCTGCCTTGCTAGGTAAAAGATGTTTCCTCTCCCCCTAGGACCAACAACTATACACTGCACTGCCAGTTTGGGTTCTCTCGGGGAGGTGGACTGGCAAGGCCCGCTTCCCCATAACTACCCATTAACCCCAGGGTTCCTAGGAATGCTAGGTACCTATTTTTCATGGGTAACCATGGGGAAGCACTGCAGAATTCCTGATGGAGAGGCTATGGGGTGGCAGGGGAGTATTATGCACAGCTGTTCCCTTTTTGCACCTGCAGTGGCAGCTGCAAGCGAGAAAGCATGCAAAGCACTTAACACTATGTATGCTACCACACAATCGCCCCACATCATCCAGCGTCTGAAGTGATCTCCAAGCTGAAGAGTGGCAAAGCATCGGATATCTGCAGCATCCCAGCTAAGCTGTCAAATGTTGGTGGTGAACCTAAGCTCAGGGCTTGCATGCTGTCCTGGCTGCCATCTGGCAGTCTGGAACATTTCCCCCGACCTGTTGAAAAGTGTATTCATCCTCTCTGGAAGGCGAAAGGGGATCATTGGGGCTGCAGCAATCACCGAGACATCACACTGCTCAGTATACCGGTAAGGTTCTCGTTCACATTTTTCTGAGACGTATCAGAGACCACCTGCTGAGGCACCAGAGATCAGAGCAATCTGGATTCACTCCTGTTGTCCACAATAGACCAGATCCTGGCACTTTGAGTATTTTTTGAGCACCAACATGAGTTTGGGCATGAGCTGCTTGCATCCTACATCAACCTCAAGAAGGCGTTCAAGACGGTGCATTGGGAATCACTCTGGGAGATACTTAGACTGAAAGGAATTCCAACAAGGATTATTGTACTAATGGCTTGTCTGTATACTGGCACTGAAAGTGCTGTAAAATGTGATGAGGGACTGTCAGGCTTCTTTCCTGTTAGTTCAGGAGTGCGCCAACGCTGTGTCCTTGCACCGAAACTTTTAAACACTTGTATGGACTGGGTACTAAGCACAGCTGATGTCCAAAGTTAATGTGTAGCAACTCTGAACAATATCAAGGTTACTTACCGACTCTGACTTTGCTGACGGTGTTGCTATTCTATCACGGTTTATGGAAACCCTAGTGGTGGCTCTGGATGCATTTAGCAATGAATCAAAGCTCTTGGATCAAGAGGTCTGATGGACCAAGACCAAGATTCAAGACTTTGAGGACTTGCTGGGAGAACTTGTTCAGTTGGCACATGCCTGTGGCAAGGACATTGAAGTCACAGAGAGCTTTACATACCTTGGTAATGTAGTTCATAACTTG